CCCTACACCTCTGCTGTAGCAGACGGACAGAAAATATGGCATCTGTGCAGGACCGCCCTTTCCTGAAACCGCATTGGGGCTCCGCAAGCCTCTCCTCAGCGTGCCTAGCAAGGCGATGTTGAATAATACTTGCCAGGACCTTACCCGGCACACTGAGGAGTGAGATGCCCCTGTAGTTGTTACAATCGGTACGGTCCCCCTTCTTAAAAAGAGGGACCACCAGGGCATCCTTCCAGTCCTGCGGAACCCGTCCAGTGGTCCAGACTGTTGTTATGATGTCATATAGGGCAGTCTGTGCACAAACGCCACCCTCCCTCAGCATTTCGCTTGGGAGATCATCTCTGCCCGGTGCCTTCCCTGGTCTCAGACTCCGGATCGCCCTCAGTACTTCCTAAACAGCTGGCACCTCAGCCAGCCACTCACAGGGGATGACCTCTTCCAATATTTGAGGCACCGCAGCCTCAGCAGGGTTATCACCACTTTGTGCCATGATGTTTTCCTGGCTGAGAGAATTTCCCTCCCCCAGGACCTCACAGAAATGCTCAGCAAATCTGCAAACCTGTTCCTGGGGGTCGGAGATTGGATCACCGTTTTTTCCTCTAATGATGGTAATAGGTGTGGCGCTGCAGGTTACTTTTTTGATGGAGTTAAATAGTGATTTGTGATCACGGGCCACTGAGGCAGACTCCATCTCCTCAGCAACCCGCGACCACCAGCCTTACGGCAGCGAAGGCTGCGGTAAACCTCCTCATTCTCTGACGTGGGATGCTGTAGGCGATGAGAGTGGGCCTGTCGCTTTTTCTCAATTAACCTGAACACCTCCTCTGTCAGCCAGGGTTTCTGGGGAGGTCTGGACCGCGTACCCAAAGCAGCCATTGCAGCTGCATGAGTCACAGTCTTAAACCTCGCCCATTTACCCTCGACATCAGGTGGAGTGGGGGACGATGCCAACCCCAGCTGCAAGCGATGATGAAATTCTCGCTTGCAACTTTCATCAGCTAACTGAGACCAGGCCACTTTTGGTTGGAATGGGATCCTGGGTGTACACCCACCACCGGAGTGGAAGAAAGGCAGGCGCATCTTACAGATGACTAGTCGATGGTCAGAGGGCAGATCAGCTCCACGGTAGGTCCTGGTGTCAAGGACATGGGCTCGCATCCGCTGGTCCGTCACTATGTAGTCCAGCAGATGTTCTTGCTTGGACCCGGCATGTATCCATGATGTTGTGTGGATGCGCCGATGCCGGAAGAGCGTGTTGGTAATTACAAGCCCATGGGCTGCACAAAAATCTAGCAGCCTCCTACCGTTATTATTGAGCTGATCTGGCCCATGCCTTCCAATCACTCCAGACCAGGTGCCAGCATCATGACCAACTCGGACATTGAAGTCACCCAACAAGATGACTCTGTCCCGAGTGGCCACTTTAGCCAGCACCTGTGACAGGAGGTCATAGAAAGCGTCTGACTCATCGGCTTTGCCTGCATCCCTCCACGGATGTTCGTCTTCGGTGGGGGCATAAGTAGCCACGACCACCACTCCTCGCCTCTGGTTGATGGGAAGGCGATCCCAAAGTATCCTGGGGCTTACAGCTTCCCACACCTGACCGCCACGCTCCCACGCCCCTTCATTCTTTTGTTCAGAAGAAGAGCCACACCCTGTTGTTTGGCAGTCTCCTGCCCCGAGTAGAGGACTGTCCACCCCTCATGGTGGCAGGAGCCAGAACCGGTCCACCGGACCTCCTGAATGCCACAGAGATCCAGGCGGTACCGGTCCAGCTCCTGACAGAGGAGTGGCAGCCTCTCCTCCGCAGTGAGCGTTCGAACATTCCACGCGGCCATCCGCAATGGTTTTTTGTTGTTTCTGGAGGAGCCCCGAGGGTGAAAATTCAATCTCCTGGCTCCGCAAATGGGGTTTGGCCAGGAGACGTCAAAAAAGCCTGACCCCCCGGGGCCTCCGGCACAAGCTTATTAGTTACAGGTTCATGTTTAATTCGTAGTTTAGTGGTGGTTAATTGAAGGTGGATGGGTTACCAGCCCCTCGCACCCGTCCAGAGCCCCCGTTTAGCCACTGTGATGGTCACAGACGCCATGAGGGGAGAGGCCAATGGGCATTGGCCCTCCCCCCACAGCACTGCCCCGACGACACAACATAGACACAGAGAGAGACACAGAGAGAGACACAGAGAGACACACAGAGAGACACAGAGAGAGACACTGAGAGAGACACAGAGAGAGACACAGACACACACAGAGACACACACAGAGACACACAGAGAGAGACACAGAGAGAGACACACAGAGACACGACACACACAGAGACACACAGAGACTCACAGAGACACGACACACACACAGAGAGACACACACAGAGAGAGACACACACACAGAGACACACAACAGAGACACAGAGAGAGAGACAAACAGAGACACGACACACACAGAGACACACAGCAGAGACACAGAGAGAGACACACAGAGAGAGACACACACAGAGACACACACAGAGACACAACATAGACACAGAGAGAGACACACACAGAGACACACACAGAGAGACACACACAGAGACACACACCAGAGACACAGAGATACACACAGTGACACACAGAGAGGACACACAGAGACACAGAGAGAGAGACAGAGAGACACACAACAGAGACACACAACAGAGACACACAGAGACACAGAGAGAGACACACAGAGACACACAACAGAGACACAGAGAGAGACAAACAGAGACACGACACACACAGAGACACACAACAGAGACACACAGCAGAGACACACAGAGAGAGACACACAGAGAGAGACACACAGAGACACAACATAGACACAGAGAGAGACACACACAGAGACACACAGAGAGACACACACAGAGACACAACAGAGACACAGAGATACACACAGTGACACACAGAGAGAGACACACAGAGACACAGAGAGAGAGACACAGAGAGAGACACACAACAGAGACACACAACAGAGACACACAGAGACACACAGAGAGAGGACAGAGAGAGACACACACAGAGACACACAACAGAGACACAGAGATACACAGAGAGAGAGACACACAGAGACACAGAGACAGAGAGAGACACACACGAGACACACAACAGAGACACAGAGAGACACACAGAGAGAGACAGAGAGAGACACACACAGAGACACACACAGAGACACACACAGAGACACACAACAGAGACACACAGAGACACAGAGAGAGACACACACAGAGACACACACAGAGACACAACAGAGACACACAGAGACAGAGAGAGACAGAGAGAGACACGACACACAACAGAGACACACACAGACACACACACACAGACACACACACAGAGACACACAACAAGGAACACACACAGACACACACAGAGACACACAACAGAGACACGACACATACACAGAGACACACAACAGAGACACAGAGACACACACAGAGACACACACAGAGACACACAGAGAGAGACACACACAGAGACACAACATAGACACAGAGAGAGACACACACAGAGACACACACAGAGAGGACACACACAGAGACACACAACAGAGACACAGAGATACACACAGTGACACACAGAGAGAGACACAGAGAGAGACACACAAAGAGACACACAACAGAGACACACAGAGACACACAGAGAGAGACACACACAGAGACACACAACAGAGACACAGAGAGAGACAAACAGAGACACGACACACACACAGAGACACCCAACAGAGACCAACAGCAGAGACACACAGAGAGAGACACACAGAGAGAGACACACACAGAGACACAACATAGACACAGATAGAGACACACACAGAGACACCACAGAGAGACACACACAGAGACACACAACAGAGACACAGAGATACACACGTGACACAGAGAGAGACACACAGAGACACAGAGAGAGAGACACAGAGAAAGACACACAACAGAGACACACAGAGACACACAGAGAGAGACACAGAGAGAGACACACACAGAGACACACAACAGAGACACGAGATACACACAGAGACACACAGAGACACAGAGAGAGACAGAGAGAGACACACACAGAGACACCAACAGAGGACCAGAGAGACACACAGAGAAGACAGAGAGAGACACACACAGAGACAACACACAGAGACACACACAGAGACACACAACAGAGACACACAGAGACACAGAGAGAGACAGAGAGAGACACACACAGAGACACACACAGAGACACACAGAGACACACAACAGAGACACACAGAGACACAGAGAGAGACACGACACACAACAGAGACACACACAGAGACACACACACAGACACACACACAGAGACACACAACAGAGACACACACAGAGACACACACAAGACACACAACAGAGACACGACACATACCAGAGACACACAACAGAGACACACACAGAGACACACAGAGACACACACAGAGATACACACACAGAGACACACACAGAGACACACAACAGAGACACGACACATACACAGAGACACACAACAAGAGACACACACAGAGACACACAGAGACACACAGAGACACACACAGAGACACGACACATACACAGAGACACAACAGAGACACACACAGAGACACACAGAGACCCAACGCCTCTGTGTCGAGAGAGAGGGGGGGGTTTGCTGCAGCAGAGACATTGTTAGCTGTCAATGACACCCCCCCCCTCACACGTGACCCCCCCCCCCCCTCGCGTGTGACCCCCCCCCTCGCACGTGATACCCCCCCTCACACGTGACCCCCCTCCCTCACATGTGATACCCCCCCCCCCCCGCTGACGTGACGTCACGCGGCCACGTGGGAGCCAGGAAGTGGTCACGTGGTTGGCTTTGCTGCTGCTGCCGCCATCCTTGATCTGTGGTGAGACGTTCGTTTTGTGGTTGTTGTGGTTGTTGTTGTGGGGGTGGTAGTTGTTGTTGTGGTTGTTGTGGTGTTGTTGTTTACCAGGTACAGCCGCGCTGCTTCTTTGTTTCGTAGGGGGGACGTCGAGTGAGTTGCACAGCTGTGGAGTCGATGTCCACGTGGTATCGTGAGCACGTGGCAACAGCAGCAGCCGCAGCTTGTGTGTGTCAAGGCCACGGGAGGGCTGCTGGTTCTTGCTGGAATTCTCACGACTGATGACGATTGCTTGTGTTGTGAGCATTTTTATTTTACCTTTTTAAATCCTTTATATTAAGTTCACTTGCTTGCGCGCTTACTTACGACCGTGCAAATCTTTCGGTCGTTTTTTAACCCTCTTCCCGTGATCCAATCGAGCTGACATGTTGCACACAGACTCGTTGTGCGAGACAACTTTTTAGGAAAATGTTTTTTTCATATTTAATTTAAAATAGCAATGTGATAAAAATGAAACTTATTACTCAAGAAAAACAGAATGAATAATAAAATAAAACCGATGCCACGCATATAAAGGATTTATAGTGAAAAACTTTGTTTTTACGGGTTAATTTTTTTCAAATTTTCTTGCTGTGGATTTCACACCTGATGATGATTGCTTGTGTTGCAGTCGAAACGCCGTGAGAATTTTAATCGGATCGCTAATGGCTCTGATGATGACAGTTGCTGTGAGAGTTGTATTTACCTAGCTACAATGCCATTGGTCAGTCTAGTGAATGGGCGGCACAGATGCTAATGCAACAGCAATGCCATTTCGAGGGTGTGGAATTCATCCTGTTATGTACGAAACTTGAGAACCCTAGCTACATACAATATCTGCTGCAAGTTTAATAGGGCTGAACATTGAAAATGTCTAAGTGTACAATGATTGCGATTACCATGTCTCTATAGTCGTGGTTGAAGAGACATGTAATGTTTTTAAACTATTTTATCTTTTCCTGTAATTTCTTGAAATTCTCTTTTGGCTGGTTAAGTAAAGACATGCCTTACAATGGCTGCCCATAAAAAAATTGTTTTCATGCATTTGTTTTCTGAGCCATTTGTTTTAGTGGCCAGGTACTGGGCCGATTCTGCTGTGAGACCCGAGTGTGTGCTTCGCCGGGGAGAGATGTAAAAATGTAGGTGAAGAATGAAATAAAAATTAATTTAAATAAAAGAATAAAAATCACGACGTTTTCGGAAGCAACACAAGCTTCCGTCTTCAGGTGAAACTGTCACCGCAAAATATCTGTTTCACCTGAAGACGGAAGCTTGTGTTGCTTCCGAAACGTTGTGATTTTTCTATTTTTCTTGGTTCTTTCGGTCAAGTCGTCACGTAGAAGGGAAGTAATAAAATAATAAAAATAATAAATAATTTTCACGACGTTTCGGCCACAACGCAAGCAGCCGTCCTCAGGTGAAACAGGTCTGTCGAGGAGACAGCGTCTGAATGAAACAGCACACGAGCTTGGAGCATATATATAAGCTGGGTTGGGAGGGGGGGGAAAGGGCGCTTCGACAAAATAATTTGCATATCAAGAGGAATTTAGCATATTCATGGGAAATGCAGGAATGTGATTAGTACTACTTATGCCCGTGCATTATGCAGGATTAGCAGCATCAAAGGGAGGGGATATGGGAAATGCAGGTAAGTGAATAGTACTACTTATGCCCGTGCATTATGCAGGATTTGTGATTTATGCAGGATTTGTGATTTTTATTCTTTTATTTTAATTTCATTTTTACCTACACGGTGACTGTACCGAGTATGAATCCTTGCAGTCGCGAAAGCTTCAAATCTCCAAGATATCAAAATGGACGAGCAGTGCATGCATCAGGACGGTGAGGAGCTGCAGCAGCAGCAGCAGTCTCCAAACAATCGGAAGGCTCCTTCACTCACCATGCAGAATGCAGCTCAGTCTGTGCAGCAGTATCCTCCTGCCTTGGCAGAGGCAGCAACCCAGACTTGTCAGTCTCCACAGGCTCAGCCAGTTGAGCACACCCCACAAGTGCCTAAGGTGTCCACTTCTGGCAGCAGTCAGCGAGCGAGTGGAGAGGCGGCTTCTGATACGAACTCCCAAGGTGATCACTTTGACTGCCCCTTGTTCACACACACGTGCTGTCTAGCTATTAAGACACATTTGAGGTTTTTGTAAATTATATAATTTCACTAATAGGGGTTTTCCCCTTTTTTCTGGCAACAAAACTGACACCTTTTGCAAGGAATAATGCTTACATTAACCACAATACTTGCAGTCAAATGCAAACAAAAACAATACTCTGATAATTTATGCATTGTTTTTGAAACTGATTGGTCCACACCAGAGACAGCTTTCTTTAGAGCCTCGTCTCATATGGTTTTCGACCAGATGACGCCAAGTATTGTGGTTAATGTAAGTATGATTCCTTGCAAAAGGTGTCAGTTTTGTTGCCAGAAAAAAGGTGAAAACCCCTATGAGTATATTTTGGTACTGGCAAAGGAGGTCCATGATGACGCCTTTTGGCGTCATCTGGTCGAACACCATATGAGACTAGGCTCTAAAGAAAGCTGTCTCTGGTGTGGACCAATCAGTTTCAAAGACAATGCATAAATTATCAGAGTATTGTTTTTTGTTTGCATTTGACTGCAAGTATTGTGGTTAATGTAAGTATGATTCCTTGCAAAAGGTATCAGTTTTGTTGCCAGAAAAAAGGTGAAAACCCCTATTAGTATATTTTGGTACTGGCAAAGGAGGTCCCATGATGACATCATTTCAATGTATTATTCTGAAAGAAATTGTCCCTGCGTGTACTCGCCTTACCTGTCCGCTTTTGCCACTTAACCAAATCCTCAGGCTGCGTGAAAGTGGTGCACGACATGCTGATGACTGCAAGCAACTGTGGCAGCAATTGGCCATCCGACCAAGAAGACATATTTCGCCTCCTGGTAAGTTACCTGCTTTCGTTTAAATTCCTCGCAATCACATGTCACAATAAGCATTTCATGTTTGAAAGAATTTGCTCTGCGGTCTGTATGTATGTAGGTGCATGGGAGAGAACATTTTGAAATATTAAAGAAAATCAAGGAAAACCTGGAGCTAATCCGAACGCTGCCCACGGATGCCAATGTGTTGCGCAACCTGCAGCAACAACAGTACGTGAACACGAAATAGACAATCGTTGCTCTTGCGAGAGAAGTTCCCGATTGCTGCTGTAATTAAATGGTAGCAACAGAAGGGAAGTAATAAAATGATAAAAATAATAAAATAATTCTCACGACGTTTCGGCCACAACGCAAGCAGCCGTCCTCAGGTGAAGAACAGGTCTGTCGAGGCGACAGCGTCTGAATGAAACAGCACACGCGCTTGGAGCATGTATATACGCTGGGTTGGAAGGGGGGGGAAGGGCGCCTTGACAAAATAATTTGCACATCAAGAGGGTTAATTTTTTGGGTTTTTTCTCCCTCCCAGATACGTGACGGAATTGCGTGGCAGGCCGTCCAACCTCAGCCGACACGGCAGCGAGTGTTCACAGGAAGTCTTGGCCGGCAGCCAGGGACCCTCCAGTGCGGGCGAAGGTTCCTATCAGGTGACGCAAGCTCTCCCTGCTCGGCGCAGCACATTTCTCTGTACGGAACGTGGCGGCACGCGGTAGAATTGAAAGACGTGACATAATTTGCCACAAAGTGATACGCACTCTTCTTGGTTCTTTCGGTAAAGTCGCCACGTAGAAGGGAAGTAATAAAATAATAAAAATAAACACGATAAAATACAATTCTCACGACGTTTCGGCCACACGCAAGCAGCCGTCCTCAGGTGAAGAACAGGTCTGTCAGACGCTGTCTTTCCGACACACCTGTTCTCCACCTGAAGACGGCTGCTTGCGTTGTGGCCGAAACGTCGTTAGAATTATTTTATGATTTTTATTATTTTATTACTTCCCTTCTACGTGATGACTTTACCGAAAGAACCAAGAGGATGAATTCAATATTACTCGTATATGTGTTGAGGTGTAAATGGTTTTATTGCGAATGCTCATCCACTGGTTGCAGGCGTTGCACAGGATGTTGTGACGGGTGAAGCGAGTGGATCCAATGGTCCCCCACGGCCACCGGACGGAGACAACCCACGGGCCCGGCTTGGAACCCTGCCGGACAGCGGCAAGCCTGGCAACGCTCTTTACAAGTAAGTGCCCTTTAGGTGCATCATCGTCGCCACCTTTGAACATCGTCGTCATTTTTTGATTTAAAGCTTTCGTGACTGCAGGGATTCATCTTCTTGGTTTTTTCGGTAAAGTCACCACGTAGAAGGGAAGTAATAGAATAATAAAAATAAACATAATAAAATAATATAATAATATATTAAAATAATATAATAATGTTGCTTTCCTTCTACGTGACTTTACCGAAAGAAGCAAGAAGATCGTCATCATTCACGCTCTGAAAAAAATTACAAATAAATGAAAGGGATTCTTTGCTGAAATAACCTTTTCTACTCTGAGACATCTCTTTTAGCGGTGGCAAAATATAGTAGTAGGTTTTTACCCTTTTAAACTGGTACAAAACTGACACCTTTACACAAGGCATCATACACCTTGAGACATCTCCTTTACCAGTGGCAAATATAGTGATAGGTTTTTACCCTTTCAACTGGTACAAAACTGACACCTTTATACAAGGCATCATACACCTTGAGACATCTCTTTTAGCAGTGGCAAAAATATAGTGATAGGTTTTTACCCTTTCAACTGGTACAAAAACTGACACCTTTATACAAGGCATCATGTTTGCAATGACCACAACGCAAGTAGTCAAAAATGCCAACAAAAAGAAGCAACTCTGATAATGATAATATGCACTGTACTACTAAACCTTTTCTACTGTTGCGTCTGCACGCTCCATTCTTTTCATGATGTATCACTGCTTTATTTAAATGGCTTATCCTTGACGTATTCTACACTGCAACATCTTCCCTAGTCACTGGGTAGGTGGGTCGGTATCGGCCTCGGATATTCTGATGAGCACTCTACACTGCATTAGATATTTTTAGTTGACTTGCAGTGTTTATAACACTCCTTTATTATATACGAGTCTGGGTTCTTCAAGTGTTTAGTTTGATCGGTGTATACTCGACTACAATACTTAAGTCGGTGGGTGAATTAAAACAAAGCAAAGTTCATCTTCTTGGTTCTTTCGGTAAAGTCACGTATAAGGGAAGTAATAAAATAATAAAAATAAAACATAATAATATAATAATATAATATACATGATAAAATAATTCTCACGACGTTTCAGCCACAACGCAAGCAGCCGTAACGTCGTGAGAATTATTTTATTATGTTTTATTTTTATTATTTTATTATGTTTATTTTATTACTTCCCTTCTACGAGACTTTACCGATAGAACCAAGAAGATGAATCCCTGCAGTCACGAAAGCTTTAAATCGAAAAGCAAAGTTCGTAATGCAGTTTGGGCTGATTTTTGCACTTGGATTTCCAATAAAAAAAAGTCATTATTTTCCATAGGGATATACAGTACAAGCAATGTAAGTGTTGCTTCACATGTTATTTCTAATCGCAATGTTTACGGAGTAAAAATGTGCAAGTTAATGTAATTCAGCCGTACAAAGTACTTTTCGTGCTTCTTGTATTTGGTATTAACATTTTGGAGCCTTGTGTGTGTGTTGTTTTTTGTGTCTCAGCTTCCTGAAACAAATAGACTGCTTGGAGTTTTTGGAGAATTTCACTTCACGTGGATTGTCGAGTGTCCAACAGCTGATGAACGTCACTCTGCAGGCAAGTTCCTACGGACGCTTTCACGCAAACTACGCGTGTTTTTTAACGAATACAGGATTGGGATTTATTTCTAAGTTTTTCTGCAACATAAAAAAATGCACAAAGAAGCTTGGAGAAGATGGAAGGTTGGAATTAAACTTGTAAAGAGTTAATGCGTGTGTAGGTGAGGGTGAGTGGTGAGGGTGAGTGGTGAGGGTGAGTGGTGAGCGTGAGTGGTGAGGGAGAGGGGTGAGTGGTGAGGGAGAGGGGTGAGCGTGAGTGCTGAGTGGTGAGGGTGAGTGGTGAGGGTGAGTGGTGAGTAGTGAGGATTGTAGTGCCACAAGAGGGGGCTCTGGGACCCTAGGCAGAGAAGCCCTTGGCGGCAGGCGCTAGGATCCCAGGCACCCCAGACAGCTAAGCCCCTTGGTGCCACCAGGGGGGGGGCTGTGTGTGCTCTGTGGGATACCTGGGGGCGCACACAACCCCACCCCTCGTGGGCACGAGGCATAAAAGGGCAGCTCCCTGGCCGATCAGGGCCAGTCGCAGGTCAAGACCCGCCAGCCAGCCAGCTTAGGACCCTGTACCCCCTCGTCCCGCTTGTCCTTGTAAGGGCCGGGACGCTGTGAGGGCCAGTGGTGGGACTCTGGGACTCCCGGCTCTACGTCCTTGTGAGGGCGAGTTCCGAGGAAGCCAGAGTCCAGACCCGCACCTTGGCTGGGTCGGACCTTGGCTGGGTCGGGTCAGGTAGCCTCCCCTAGGGGGATTGTAGCCGGAGGACCCCAGAGCATAGCCAGAGTAGTGTACCTAGGCAGTGTACCTAGGCTGTGTACCTAGGCTGTGTACCTAGGCTGTCTACCTAGGCTGTGTATCTAGGCTGTGTACCTAGGCTGTGTCGCTAGGCTGTGTACCTAGACTGTCTACCTAGGCTGTGTACCTAGGCTGTGTACCTAGGCTGTAACAGAGTATCAGGACTGTTGGAGTGTTGTATTGTAATAAAGAAGTTACCTCTACAAGTGTCTCCGGAACCCATTACACGTGGATACCGAAACATGCAAATAAGAAACATTGACAACTGCAAAAAAGTAGATGGGCTTCGGCAAGGGAACATCACTGGACTGCATTGGAGTGGCATCCAAAGTAGAGCACACATCACCAAGAGGATGACCACCACAGAGATTCGAGTTGTGAGATTAGTTCGTGTGTAGTTGATAGATGGATCGTCACATAGCTCGAGTGAGGAGGCTGAGGAGTCCTGATCCAGTAGTGGGTACAAATAAAACACATTCCTCCTGCGGAGGGAGCGGGTAGGAACGTTGGGTTGCTCGGTCAATGGCCAACTGTGAGGGCCGGGCACAAGCCGTCGTGAGTAGGTTAAACGTTGAGTTTTATAAGGGCACCACGGGGTGACCAGCCCCTCCCCACCCAGCCCCACCCCACCCTCCCCACCCAGCCCCTCCCCACCCTCCCCTCCCCACCCAGCCCCTCCCCACCCTCCCCTCCCCACCCAGCCCCACCCCTCCCATTTTTGGATGCACGATGGACAGACACAATCATCCCCTGTGGGCTGGTGGAACCAGGTGGTTCCTACCGGTAATACCGACTGATTTTGTACATTAATTGCTCTGAGGAATACACGTCGTCAGAAATTTGAAGAATGTTGTATCGTACACTATGGGAACCTCATTTGCCAGTAAAAATATCATAATTGTTTTTTTACCCTTCTATCTGGCAACAAAATTGACACCTTTTTACAAGGAGTCATGTTTGTATAGACCACAATACTTGTCTCGGGTGTGGACCAATCAACTTCAGGGACAGTGCATACATTATCAGAGTTATGTCTTTTGTTTGTATTATGACTGCAAGGTATTGCGGTCTATGCAAACATGACTCCTTGTAAAAAGGTGTCAGTTTTGTTGCCAGATAGAAGGGTAAAAAGCCAATTATCAATGTTGTATCGCTGAACACAAGTTGGTGTGTGTGTGTGTGCATATTTTTTGTATTTCGCTGGATTTTAGGACTTGGATGAACTGGGAGTCCCAGAAGCCAAAAAGCGACTGCTATTGAGTGGAATCGAAGAGCATGGCGTGTCCACCACGATCTCCAGCGAGACGACGCTGCAGCGCTCGTCCAGTGAAGAGACAGTCCACCTCAGCTCCGAGGACGACGACGATGACGGCATCGACACCAAGGACGGCATCCGTGCCAAAGTGTTCCCAGCGCTGCGGCCCTCTGGCAGTCATCTGTCCTCCGTCGGCAATCGGTATCGCAAAAGCAGCATTGCCAATACAATTTGCGAGCGCACGCTCGCCAAGCCGTTGACTTTCCTCGTTCTCGCAGCTGGGGAGGCAGTAGCAGCCTGGAGGTGCCCAGGAGCAAGATGCCAAGATTGTCTTCATGCTCTGACATCGAAGAAGAAGAGGGGCTGGAGTGAGAAGAGGAGGGGGGTGAGCGATAGATGGATGATGGTGGGAGGTTGTGTGGGCCATGGGTTGCACTTTGTATGAAAAGCCCTTGGGGTAAATAAGCTGGTGTCTTTCGATTGAAAGCTTTCGTGACTGCAGGGATTCATCTTCTTGGTTCTTTCAGTAAAGTCACGGTCGACAGACCTGTTCTCCACCTGAGGGCGGCTGCTTGCGTGTGGCCGAAACGTCGTGAGAATTATTTATTATGTTTTATTTTTATTATTTTATTATTTTCCTTCTACGTGACTTTACCGAAAGAACCAAGAAGATAAGCTAGTGTCGTTTCACTCGCAGTTTCAATAACTTCCTTTGAGCTTCTTTTGGTTCTTTCGGTAAAGTCACGTAGAATGGAAATAATAAAATAGTAATACTTTTTTTTTTATAAATTAATTCTCACGACGTTTCGGCCACAACGC